CCATATCACCTACAGTCAGTCTCCAACCACTGGTTCCTCTTGTCCCGGGGTCCCCAACCACCTAGTCTGCATCGTCCTACATGGCTTAAACCAACAGTCAGAGACTTCATACATTGGTGCCATGTTTTAGTCTGGCCACCTCGGGCCTTTTTCCAGCCTGAACCCACCTCAGCCAACATTGTGTGACGAGGCAATCGGTGACTAGGCATACGTAGTACGTGTCCCAACCATCTCAGTCGATGAAGGTTCACAACCTCGTCAACTGACTTACCTCTTCTCCCCAAAACTCTACACCTAACTTCTGCATTACTCACATGGTGACACCACGGAATACGTCCTATACTACGAAGGCAACGGTGGTCAAACACCTGAAGCCTTCTCATATCTTCCACTTTCAATGGCCATGTTTCACAGCCATACAGTAGAACAGAGCGGACTGCTGTGCAGTACACGCGACCCTTAATAGACAAACGAATATCACGGCGGCGCCATAGGTGGCGCAAATTGGCAAAAGCCAATCGAGCCTTTTGTATCCGTGCAGAAATCTCATCGGCAACTAACCCACCGGGTTGATCCTACTTCCCAGGTAAGTGAAGTGGTCAACACACTCAACCACTTCACTCTCTATTGTTAACCGCGGTACCGCTGAAGACCAGTCCTGGAGCAAAAATTTGCATTTGGGTGGTGAAAATCGCATCCCAAACATTCTCAAATTCCCACTCAAAGTGTTCAGAAGACTCTGCATCTTGTCAGCGTCTTCACCTAACAGGACTATGTCATCTGCATATTCTAGATCTAAGGAAAATTCACCTGTGATCCGGTCAACGTCTTTGTAATTAGGTGACGAGAGGGAAACCTCCATAAGAATATCTATGATAAAATTAAATAAGAATGGGGATAGTGGGCATCCTTGACGGACACCACTTGATGAGTATAGCTCCCTGGACAACTCACCATAGGCTCTAACATGCCCACAAGTGTTCGAGTAGAGAGCTTTCAATAAGGTGATGTACTTACTAGGCACGCCTTTCAGTGACAGACACTGCCATAAGACTTCTCGATCAACGGAGTCAAATGCCGCCTTCAGGTCGAGAAATACAGCTATTGTCGGGCGTCTGTAAGCATGCCTATGTTCCAGGACCTGGCGCAGTGTGAATATTTGGTCGATACATCCACGGCCAGGTCTAAAGCCTGCCTGGTTTTCTCGGGCTTGCTGTTCCCGAGCTCCACTCAGGCGTCGGAGAATTATAGAACTTAGGATCTTAGACACTATGTTTGTCAGGCTGATTCCTCTGTGGTTATCACAAGAGGACTTCTCGCCTTTCTTGAAGACTGGGATGATGAGTGACTTAGACCAGTCGGAGGGGATCGTATTTGATTCCCATATACTGGCTAACACTTCCGTTAGCCTGACTAAGAGAACTCTACCACCATTCTTGTATACCTCAGCAGGTAGTCCGTCTGGTCCTGCTGCCCTTCCTCGTTTCAGGCTACCTACCGCTTTCTCAACTTCTTCTAGTGTTGGGGGACCTGTCTCTATGTCCCATTCAGGGTCCGACTGGATAGCGGGCAGCGCAATGGTGGCTGGAGGCCAGTTAAACTGTTCCTCAAAGTGTTCTGCCCATCGTCCCAGTCGCCTTCCCTGCGAGTGAATCCCGATCCGTCCTTCTCCGCTATAACCTCACTAACTGTTGTTGACCATTTCCCCCCAGTCTCCTTAATAAGTCTAAATAACTGTCTACTGTTACCGATCGCCGCTGCCTTTTCCATCTCTTTAGCCTTTGCTGCCCACCACTGTTCACGATCGTTGCGCAGACTTTTCGTCAGTTTATTTTTAAGTTGCGCTCGCTCTTCATTGTACTCAGAGCCTGCAGGGATGCATTCACGTGCATCCATTAGTTTGGAAGAAGCTGCTGATATCCACTGGCTCTTTTTAGACATTATTTTGGAGTCGGTTGAGTGCTGACAGAGTTGTGAGGGCGGTTGACACTTCCCGGCTGCCCACACGGTGGAAGGCTATTTCTTCTTAAGGTACCTGAAAGAGATTTGTGTGACCGCAGAGCCCATCGAACATCTGCTTGAAGCCTGTCACACGAACCCTTTTGAGTATGATTATTTTCAACTTTTGTATTTTTGGGGCCGGATGGTCGAAAGGAAACGACAAGTGAACCAACACCGCCTGCCCGGCAGACCATGGCTTAGGATGGTGGAGTGTGTTATTTTTGAGGCCGACCTTTTCTAACCCCCCTTCCACTGAGAAGGCAGCATCAGCATGGCACTGCTGGTCATCCAAGGGAGACGCCTTACTGCTGTTACACCCCATTCAGCTAGCAAAAGTACGACTTCGCCCTCAGACCCCAATTATAGTGTAGCAATTTATACTATAATGGTAACTGCTTTTCGTCTAACCACTATCCAACAGACCTTTCTGGTATGGTAGGACCTCGAGGGAAAAAGCGTTCCACCGGCATAGCTCGTTGGGTCATTGTGATATGCAAGCCCGACCACCACGTCAAGGTAGCAGCTATCGGCCGATTGTGGTAAACTGGATTATGCAAGAAACTATGAGGAGCGAGGAGATGGGCATACGCTGTTTGACAGATGAAAATAGCCCAGAAGTTTAGGATCTCGCCAACGATGATGATTTATGTCTAATGTCGTCTTGCACAAACTCGAAGATCTACAGGCGAAAACTAACAAGTTGACAGAAGAGATAGGGCACCGAAGACCGACTGACGCTCACTCGATACTGAAGATCAGATGACCAGAATAATAAGAATAAGCAACAAGGAACTCACTCTAACTTGCCAACAAACCAACCAAGAACCCATCGCCCAACAGATATACAGTAGAAGAAAGTGGAGATGGATTGGACTGAAGATACACTGAGAAGACCATTTTGGGACATCACACACCAGGCCAGGTCGTCGAGTGGAACCCGAAGGGGAAACGAAGAGTTGGATGTCGCAGCTCAGGGTGACGTGGAGGAGATCGTGTGAGGAGGAAATGAAAGTTTATGGGGACTCATAGGGCCAGGTTAAGAAGACTGGAGAGAAAAGAGTGGAATGACGACGTGCTACTGAAGCCCTATGTTCTACCAGGAATCCAAAGAACAAACAATAAAAATAATAATCAATAATAGCAGCAAAATTTAAACTTTTCGGTTAGTATCTGGGTTACAACTGAAATCGGTGGTTGGAAACTCTAGATGATATGATTCGTAAACGATCTCAGTGGCGTAGATGCAAGTATAGATTATCTTTATCCTAAAGATAATACTCTCACATTCCTCCTTATTCTTTTTCTACGACGTTTTAGCTTTTTGGCTGTTTCCTCATTTTACTATCTTTCATTTTAAAGCATTCTTGCTTGGTGGGTTGATATGAAGTGTCTCAACTTGGAGCCTTATACAGTATCACCAGGTCCTATGACCCTTACTGACTGCAAACCTGTGTTGTCTACGCATTTATTTCATTCTACTTGCAAGATATTAAACAGATTAATGTTAAATATATTTCAATGTTGCTTTTTCTTAGAAAAAGGTATTACCATCTCCGATTTCCTTTAGATGTTTTCTTCGTTTTTGTAAAGTATATTTCGTTGGAGTGCTGAGAACAGCCACCGTAAGCCCGTTTTACCTAGAGCTGTAGATTACTGAAACTCATGATCTGAACATGTCCTCTGCAAGACAGCCATTGATAAAGCTGCAACTACTTAACAGTGATATGTTAACACTCATAATTAAAGTGACTGGAAAATTGATTAGTTTTAATGTGATCTCGATCATAAGTTGATATTAACTAGCTGAATAGTTTTTAGCTCGCTGTGAAACCTGATAGCTCCATTTATCATGAATTCGTAGATATCCACTGTTGAACTGTCCGTAACGTAGACGGGAAAGTTGTTCAATGCTCCTAGGTTTTCAATGATCAGACGGATGATGTCAGTCTATCATGAAAATCAGTCAGAAATCAATTAGTCCTGAAAAAAAAATCCTCAAGTAAAAATCAACTTTCTGTTAATATCTATTCTGCTCAGTTTACAGCTGAATAAAAGGTTACACACTATAAGATGTGTAGACAATTAAAGTAAATGGGAATAATCCTACAATAAAATTCAAATTTTTTACTCACTTTTTTTATTTGGAAATCTGTCTTAGCACTTGTTTCAATAAAGAATAAGCGTTCTTTTTCAGCTTTTTCAACTGCTTCTTCAGTAGATATAACACTAAATATAAGAAGGGGGGATTCACATTCTAAAATCAACTTTTTATATTCACTTATTAATAATATTGAAGTTTTGTATTATTAACGTGAAATGTTTATCTTATCGATTGAATTCAAACAAATAAACAAGAGAAGTAAAACAACATCTTGTAGACAATGGTGAAAAAGACAGGAACTTCCTATGCAATTTAATATTGTCATACGTCCTATCTGAATGGTCTATATTACTGCTGGATGCATTAGTAATGATATATCCCGAACGTAGACCAATTTTAAGGTGTCCAGAAAATGAAGCTTATTATCTGATGAATTAGAGGCCACTGGTTCGAATCATGCCACAGCCCAAATCTTCACTTCATCTGCAATCATCCCCCATTACCAATAATATAATTTTTAAAAACCATGGCTATCTCAGATGGTTGAAGGGACAAGGAAATATTATTAAATCTTAAACAGAATTTCTGTTGTGCAAATTGATTTACAAATTACCAAGTTCACATTGACATTTCTCACAGTTGAGTAGTTTTCCGACTGCTGCCCAACTGCAATGTCAGTAGGATTTCCTTTGGAAACTACCGAACCACTTAGGTCAGTTAACCGGATTCAGGTGATCTGAATTAATTCAAGTCTGAGAGCTGAATTTGTGCCGGTGCAAGTGTGTGGATTGCCTTAAAAAAGTGACACGGTCACCTATATATAGATCACTTCGATCCGACTTCATGGACGCGTCTGCAGGTCAGTCGTTAAAGTTTAGTAGTGTATTTCGAGGATCAGTCTACTACATGTTTTATTTGGTAAGCACCAACAAACACTATGACGATTAGTTTTATTTATTGATATGCTTGTTATTCTCCGTTTTTTAATTGGATCGAATTGTTCGACCTCTATTGGCATATGGGCTCCTATGCGGATACCTCAATATTGCTTGAATGTTAACTATGGTGATTTGCTTGGTTGTGGCTAGCAGAAGAAACTAGGACGTGCGTTTCATCCTATTTAGGACTTGTCAGCTTGATGTACTCGCACGTCAGGCAATATTGAGGCATCGGCATAGGAGCCCACATGCCAATAGAGGTCGAACAGTATAACCCGATAAAACAACGGAGAATCCCAAGTATGTCAATAAATAATACCGGTTGTACAAGAATTAGCTACCGTGCCTCCGTGGCATAGTGGGTAACGCCTAGGGGTTTGGAGCAACGGGTACGAGGTTCAAGTCTGAGTGGGAACAACATCACTCACTGAGGTGCTAGCGCACTCAGCTGATGAGTCCCAAGTAGGACGGAACGCTAGCCACAACCAAGCGAATTACCTAGAAAAAGTGCCGAAAATTGCAAATATTGATTGTTACACCACCCACTAATAATTCCCGTTTCCACTCTGTGTTTACTGCTGGGTAACAGAATATTCTTTCTATACTGACGAAGTTGAAGTGTTTAGTAATAATACTGTCTTTCAGGTATTAATAGATGAACAAGTGGAATTTTACTTCAAATAATCCTGTAGAAAAATCGAGTAATTGAGGCAGTGTAATCCCTCACATTGATCAATTCACTAACTAGCTGAGAAATTGAGAGGAGAGTATGCTAGTACAGCCAGCTGACCATCTTAGCATTTTATAGGTGAAAAGAAAGTAACACTAACTGGACGTTTTAAGAAGTACACTAGTTGTCTCCTTCATTATCTCACACAGACTGCTGATGAAACTCATCAGAAAATCATGATAGCAGTTGAATTTGACAAAAGTCAGGAATATCCACGATTTACAAGAAAATACGTGCAGCTGAGAAATTCTTAGAAACTTATTACTAAGCTCTACTATCTACTAATACACTAAAAGAAATATTACTTAACTATCTCCTTCTACTTTTATTGCTTTCTGGGAGTGGCCTCATAAGACAACCACCTGCTTAGATCCGGGCGCCTGAGCAGTATCCCAGCCCTCATACAAAATATGAATTTACAATATAAAATGAAGGCTTCGATACAACTAATCAACTTTTCTGCGAATACCCAAGCTCTACGCACTACAGACATTCTAACCAATTAATCAGTTTGTTGATATAATATCGTTTTGTTACTTTTACATATGAACTGTATTTTTTATTCTCACCAGTCTCACTTTAGTCTTTATCTTCACTTCACCCAGCTGCTCTCCACTGCACAGACTTCTGGTCTGTCTGTACCGTTATGAGTCGCTAAATGACGAAGATTTTTCCCCATTTCAGTAAATCAAACATTCTAAGTCTGATAAATTGTATTTGTGAATTATGCGGGGAAGTGGGATCTTATTCAACTTAAGTTACAAAATTCTTGAGGTTTCAAAACAATCTACGTATCATTGCAAATATCTTAAGCGTTGCAAATGGTTTCAGTTCAGATCTTGGGATAGTGATTATCATACCTGAGGTACTGAACAGTCCAGTGAAACAACTACTAATCTGTCCATGGATTTCAGTATGGTTTCAACAAACTAAGTCTACGATATACTCTTCTAGTTAACATGAGCAGTTTTAGATCGCTCACACCACTCAGCGGTGTTTGGCAACCACATTGAATAGCTATTCTACTGGTTAGATGTGGAGCTTATCAGTGGTGTATCCACTTCAATGGAACTCAGTCAACCAAATCATTTCATATATCTGAGTTCTAGCTGTGAACACCAACCGACCGATTTCAATGACAATCTTTGTGACATTCAACTGGAATACCAGAATATTGACACCACATTTGCTAACACTTAAATTGGTATTCAAGTATAAAAATGCTTACACGTAACTAGGCATTGTGAAACCGCAAACATGAAGGGACAACTGCATATATAATAGTGAAAGTAACATTTGGCATCAGATATTAAGAGTTAGTTGGCAAGACACTCTTGTCAACCTCGGTTTTGGACTTGTTGACGTTCATCAGTAAGATGTACTTCCAACCACTCGAAAACTAGTGTCCTTTTGGTAGCTGGAACCCTAATCACTCAATTTTCAAGTCATATATATATATATATATATATATATATATATATATATATATATCTGCAGAGCTCATCTGGCGCATTCAAAGGAGACGATTTAAAAGGAAATAGTAATAAAAATTTAAATATTTAATTTTATCATCTGTGCTCATTCCTAGTGCTCAACCTTAACAATCACTTTCATTATCCAGCCTTTCACGAGTGGCAGTTATGGAATCGATTACAAACTTAGGCACATTATTTACCAAATCAATTAGAATCGTCATTTACAAGTCATATGATATGAGATAGATAGTTGTGCTGTGATTGTTGATAATGATGGGTATATTTATTTGTTTAAAAGAATAAAACAATAAAACTGCTCACTAACTCCAATGACATTGTTTTATATTTTCCGCTTATCAAATTGCTTGTAGAAAGTTTTGTTTGATGTGTCTTTCAGCTACTTTTAAATTTATTTTATATGCATATCATTTAATCGTTCATACAGCCTCTAGGATTAACGCAGTTTAGTCAGAATACGAGATTAATAGTCCGGTAGGAACGTTTCTTACCATAGAAGTACTCAAAGGCTGTTATCAATCACAGAGGCTATTTGGCTAGCTTCAGATCAGTCACATTATCGTCGATGCTGTGTGTATTAAGTAACATCAAGTTAAGCCAAATTGAATAGGCTTGACTTATTTGAGTAATTATCCAGTCATAGTGAAGCAAATTTATTTATAATAGACCCATGTCCTGTTCCCTTTCTAAAGTGCAAGTGTTGTATTAACAACGCCTGACTCAGTTTGTGAGTGAGGTTGAAGGTACTTTATTCATTTCGTTCTTTTGCTAAACGACTTGATGATTAGTTATGGAGGCGTGAACTTAAAGGTCACCCTAGCAACTGATGAGATATCCAATTGGATTCTTTTATTTTATAAAAAAGTACTTTCCCATGCGAAATACCAAAGCTTGATTGACCACTTCAGCAGTTGCTAGGGTGACCTTTAGAGCTGAGTGACTCTAAAGGGGACCCTAGCAACAATTGAAGTAACCAATTAGACTTCTCTATTTTATGATTGTTTGCGTTTCCAACCGAAATGGAAAAACTTAATTGGTTACATTGATCATTGCTAGGGTGGTCTTTAAAGTCGGACTTGTTGAGTCAATCAGACATCATTTTTCTGACAGTAACTAAACTTTTGACCGAACTTCAGTCCAGATCACAGAATAGTTGCCTGCTGATAAGTAAGACAGTTGAATTAACAGTTTCAGTGAAGTGACATAACCGTATGCCACCACGGAAATAATCTAAAAGTATATCTTAAGTGATCACGTTACCATGTAGAATGTATTGTGAACTTTTAAAGGCGTACTCGATATACTGAATTGACACCAAAGTAGGTATATGATTCATGAGTCACATAATCTCTTTTCTTTTAAATTGAAGAGACTCTACAGCAGGATGTGAAACTGTTAGGATGGTTAAATAAGACGAAGAAGTAACCACTCAGAATCCACTACTATGCAAAGAATACTAGCACTGAATAACGAACTATCAGCATTAACAACGTTGTTTTATCTTTTATTCATTGAGAAATAGAAGTATCAAGATAATAAATACTACTAATCTTAACACCTACCGTATAAAAAATTCTAGCCAGCCTGCATGTGAAATGCAGTTTCAAGGACTTAAGGATTTTCTTCATTAATATTTGTCCAATAAGGACGTAACTTTGGATCGGTATGTTGAGAAGATAAAAATAACATTTAGTGATATAGCTTGTGCATACTGTCCCATTCTATTCAATCTTGTTATTCTTACTAAGCCAATTTTCAGTGTGTTTTGTCTTTTTGTTTCTGTGGTCGGTATTAGAAATGAGTCATGAGCACTGTTGAGGAGTCTCATACTACGACGAAACAGCTGTCCAGTGCTCCCAGGTTCCCAACGTTTCTCGAACTGATATTGGCTCGTGATGAATACCAAAGTGAAATCAATTAATAAACCTCAACAAGCCTCCAAATCGATATCTGAAAAGATTCTAGATTATTGATTTCCACCTACTAACAGCGTATTGTATTAAGTTGGGAAATTTCATCCTTTAGTCTGTCAATAGGTACCGATCGATATGGATCCAGACTATAGACTGGCGTAAAATAAACAAAACGTTTTTTGATCAAAGAAAATTGATTAGATTATTTAATTTTGAACAGCTTTACTCATTTTTTCACTGCGAAGAAAAACTACGATTTCATCTCAGATTTTTATTTTCTCGCGTGATGAAGAATAATTAAATGCAGGTAATAAGCTTCCCATTTTTGTCACAATCTGATAATTTTGAAGTCAGTAAAACTTGTACGCAAACAGTAGTTCAATGTAGACATACTTGACTTCTTGACAATTTTGGTTCTCATGAAATAGTCTAGCTTAATTATGTCATGTTTACATGTAGAAACCATAGCCTAAGAAGATGATGAGCAACCTTCAGTTTTATTTATTAATACTTGTAATTTCCTGAACTGAATCCAATTACTTGATCTCTGTTGGTAGATGGGCTTCTAGGCGGATCCCTTCATACTGTCCAGATGTTCACTATGTTATAATCAACTTGGTGGCTGTTAGCGGAATCCAGAACGCGCGTTTCGTCCTGCTTAGGACTCGTCAGTTGCATGTACTTGCACCCTAGTGAGTGAAGTTGTTCCCAATGAGACTCGAAATCAGTCCCCATCGCTTCAAACACCAAAACGTCATCCATCACGTCAGCCAACTTGATGCAGTATACCAGGGAGGAATTAAAAGTATCAACAAACAACAACTGATATCTATTGCACAACAGGTGGCTATCGTGCTCCAGTGGCCTAGTGGGTAATACCTTGCCATTTGGAGCGATGGGTACTGAGTTCGACTTGCAGTGGGAACAATAACCCTTACTAGGATGCAGATACATTCAGCTGGTGACGAGACACGTGTCCTGGATTCCACTGCTAACCGCCCAGTAGACTACAACCTTAATATTTGTGTTAAGTTGCAAAATGTTTCTATCACTTAATTCATAGGACTAAAATATAACGTAATGGTAAGTTATATCGAATTCGCCTTCATAACACAAAAATCTATAAAACTGTTAAAATCTGATTTCATTTAAAGTAGATACATTCTAACGCATAACCTACCGGTCATCGGTTAAGTCAACTTTATTGCCAACAAGAAATATCAAGGTTTTCGATGGACGTTCAGCACGAATTTCTTTGATCCATTCACTAGCTTTGATAAATGACTCACGACCTGGTAAAATAATATAAGAAAAAGTAAATTTATGTATATAAGTGGATGACTGGATATTACTGACAAGATATTTATGAAATGATGGAGAATATTTGTAGCTTAGGTGGACGGTCTTGGTTGTGTTGTGTTTTCTGAGCTCAGAAAACACAATTTCCACCTCTTGTCTATTACTAACTAATGTTGATTGTGTTCAGACTAAGTTGTTACGCGAGTTGGTGATTGAGTTGGCAAACGTTTCATTGTCCTGTCATACATCGTCATTAGTGGATTAGAGGACAACTCAATCGATGCATCCCCACCTTGAGACACACATAAATATTCTACACATTAGTCAGTACCTTACGCTGAATTAGTCATAAGTTGAAAATGTTTTATTACTTTTCCTTCTTCCATACATTCGTAGTGCTTAAATTAACAACCATTGATAAAGTACACTTGCTTTTAGCTCATCATTTCTTGTAATAACTTACTTCATCTCTAGACGAAAGCAAACAAACAATTAAACTTTAAAAACCCCGTTGGTACGAAAGTAGACGATTTAAATACGATTTCAATGAAACCTGTCACATTTAAATTTCGTGACGCCAAAGTTTACAGCATATCCCTAGAGTGATAATAATGCCGACCTCAAAAGACAGAGTAATCAAAGTGGAGCTTCGAACAGTAGTACATCACAGTTCAATTCGTTACATATAACAAACGCATGAAGAGGAGAAATAGACTGAAAAAATCCAGTGTGTACTACGTCAAATAGATGGACTAGAGATGAAATCCAATTTTTCATACAAATGACATTGAGGTTGGGGACGATATACGAGATGACACACAGTAAATAAATGAAGGTATATGCAGATGTTTAAAAAGTCAAAAATTATACAGTGTGAACAAAGTTCTAAAATTGGAGGTGATTTTGAACGGTGTCACCAAGATTTTTCTTATCATAGATACCTATCATATGAAGGAAGCCACTTACACAGTTTACACCTCCTTACATAGCCCAGTAGTTGATGACTTGATGGTTGGGTGCCACATCTTGACCTACTCATCCTTAACTTTCTTTTAATCTAAAGGTATCTCTTTGAACACACTCCATTCAGGTTGGTGGTAGTTTGGGATGATCAACACATTTCCAGGTCACCGCAGTTGGTTCAGGTTTAAAATGTGCATTATAATATAACAATGATAATAATCACTTTACCACAGGCAATATTTTTAATATAATATGGAGTTCTCAACATGCACTTTAGCAACAAAAATTAACTGTTTTACAACATATCCAATAGTAATAATTATAGCAGTTAAATCAGGTATATAATGTTAGTAATGAAGACAGAAGTATATGAATGGCTAAAATAATGAAGAGTCTGATCATTTACCATCATAAACAGTCAACAAGTAACTTCTTTAATTCACATAAAATGCCTGATAGATAAACTACAGGTGAGTTCCTACATTGAACTGCACCAGCGTAAAATTCTGCTTGTCCTTCCCGACCAAACACATGGAGAGAGATATGAATGAAGAAGATGCTTGCTCAGTATCCGATAAAATGCCTGTGATTGGTCACTTGTTTGAATTCAAATATCTGCTAATAACAGCGTTAGTCCTTTCAGCTAGGGGCTTATCCTACCGACAGCTTTCAAGACCCTACGCATTACAACATAGTCTTTTTGGATTAGACCAGGGAAGACTAACCAGGAGAACAACAAAGAAGAATAGGTAAAATACAGGAATTAATAGGTTTTTAAAGCAAAGACTTAGATAGTATCAGCTTGTTTTACATAGTCAACCCCATTAAAACCGACTCAGCTTCTACGCCTAGTGCTTTACGCCTAACCTTTTGAATGACCATAAAGACAAAATGGGATTGAAAGATGATTTGTGTCTCTGTACTACGCTTCCTTAATTAAAATCTATATCAAGGCAATCTTAATATTGCTATAAACTACAGTGAAACAATAATGCTTAGAATTTTTTTAATCAAAGCATTTTATCGAAAAAGAGAAAGTCCTGTTGATTACAAGTTACGAAAAAAAGAGGTGGTAAAATATTTGGTTCAAACCTTGTTTGCTGTATATATTTCATGAGTATACACTGCACATTAATAGTAATAGTAGCAATGTCAGAATGGATTCTAAAAATGACATTTTTAAAATCTGGCAGTCTGTCATATGATCCAGATCCGATTTACACAAACAGTGATCGAAGAATAAGCAACTACTGAATACATGACAAGTATGATTATTAAGTACCAATTTAAAGAATGCATAGCAAACACATTCATACAATGTTTTTCAATAACCACCCTAGTTGTCATCACATTAAAAAAAAACAAATACAGGGAGTAATTGAAAATTTTAGAAGCTATTTCTAAGGCTGATTTACATCTAACCTAAAGTTATTGACTAACAACTTGCAAAAATGTTTATGCTCTTTACCACTTAGATATTCCTATCAATGCTGAACCCATACTCTACATACAAATCATTTGTTGTGTTGTTATCTTGATTTATGAATACGAATGAAAATCTATACACAGTATGGCTAATAAGTTAAGTGGCACAACATTATACTAAAGTAGGTTTAGTGTTTGGTATTTGAAATCAAACTGCAGATAACTATGAATATGGGTTAATGGAAGTCTCGCCTGAAAACTTCTTCAAGCTGCAGAAGCCATGGCAGTTCATATATTTTGAAGCCTGAACTCTGCCTTCAAAAGAAATTTCCCAAGTTACTTGAGTTGCAATGGATATAACCTATAAGAATATTTCTACCTTCAAAAATCTTTTCATTCAGATCTGACACATTATATTCCTTCACTCTTATAATTCTGATTACATAATTTAACTTAGTAACCTAATATTAATTCCGTCTTGATAAGTTTTCTCCTCATTACTATTGCAAACGTTACGCAATTCCTTTTTTCGATCTTCTGACTTGTAATCAAATCTGAACTTCGTTCAAAATATTTTGTGAAACATTCCTTTCCCTGTTACTATGTGAATAGAATATTTACATGCGATTTTACAGCTTGAGAATGATATCACTGGAAAGAGTGACTTCGTTATATGTCTTTTGTTTTATGAATATGATCTTGTAGAACTGAATTCTAATCTATTTACTGAAAGATTTCTGCGTTTAGAAATAATTTATATGGGGATATTGTATGGGAAACAGCTAAATTCTATTCAGTTTTACTAACTACAAAAACCATTGCCTTCTAAATCCATGAAACCGAGAAAATCCGCTCCACAAACAAATCTATTTATTGATTAGAGCCTATCAGAATAAAGTACACATACTGACTTGTGTTATGTAATAAGAAATCCGTGAAAAACTGCTAATAAAACAACCTATGAAGTTACATACTGTTAATGTGATTATCTGTTGTTCGGTGTAGACAGAAAGATAAATATTCCAGTTTTAGCATCACCTTGTACTCATCATCATAAACTCAGGTAATTTCTTCAATTTTCCGGAGTATCTGCCAGATCATACATATGTTTGCAGTAGGTTTATGTTAAGAACCTATTTTACATCGGTTTGTGCTAATCTAAAAATTCATCATAAGGAACTACTAGTTCCTTCATCAAACTAATACCAATAATATTAGTAGTGAATATCTGACCCATACAGTGGCCATGGTGTAAACATAAGCTTCCAATAGTATAAATCCATCAGTGTCAGATAACGTTACATCAAAAGGCACAAGTAAAGATGTTCGATAGAGTAAACTACATGGAGTTAAATTGAAAATATGCAAGCAACCCGTATCAAGACAAAAACTATACAAAGAAATACTTTCACAGTTAACATTACAATATGAAATGCACACAATAACGATGACGAAAACTGTATTTACACAACCCTTGTCACTTATAAAAATTTCTAGCTATTATCATTTTGACTATCTGAGATAGCCGTGGTTTGGCAGACTAGTATTGATACTGGGTGATGATTGACTATCTCAGATAGTCAAAATGATCATCAATATGATGCTCCCCCTCTCTAATTCAAGTAGATTTGAATTGGGACGGAAAGTCTTAACTGGGCAACCTGTGTGAATACGATCAAGTGATAGTAACACGTCACGAATCTATATGGTATTCAGGTGAAAAACATAGTAATTGGAATGAAATAAAAATTTGGTCAGCAGTCAAACCTCGTAGCTCAGTTGGTAGAGGATAGGGTCGGAAACCGAGTCGCTACTTGTTACAATCCGGTCACGGTCCAAATTTTAATTTCTAGCTATTTTTTGTTTTTGTTTATTATTTTCTCGTGTGTTATCATTACACAACATCGACAAAAGGTCTATAGCTGTCCTAAAGGGACTACAGACTCCTATGAACATTTGTGTATTACATCTAAGACATCAAAGATCACATCTGTAAATATATCGTATTGAAGTTAGTGCTGATGATGCTGTCTCAAAACACAATGAAGGCTTCACGATTAAATCAACCAGTTCAAACAACGCAACACAACCTATATATATATATATATATATATATATATATATATATATATATATATATATATATATATATATATATATATATATATATATATATATATATATAAGGAGGAAGTGCTGGCACATCCAAATATATTTACGCAGTGGTATTTCAAATTGCACTTTAATCGTTTGACTGATAGCTGAGTATTAAGATCACTGTTTAGACAACCCACTCACATGGAAAAGCTATCGGTAAATGATGAAGTTATTTGCTTCTATTAGGAAAAATTATGTCAAAGACGTATTTACTTGTTTATATCAACAATTTGAATATTGTGTATTGAACAATAACTTCTAGTTGATCTGAAGTCATATTGTAGAACTTATTTAAAAACCTAAAAAGCATTTTCATTAGTGTTTTTGTTTTACTTATTCGACAATGAACTACCAAGCGCCTAATCTCTTGTTTTTCCTTGGTATACGAAAATGTGATGGAGATGAAGTTGCTATGAAATTAAGAAGTGTTTCTGCTACGCAGCTATTAATAGCTAATGCCAAGATGCGGAGTTCAATGTATTTTATGATATACCTGTCAATGTTCTTCGTTGATGCAAAAATTCATAAAACAATACAAGTAAGTGAGAAAGGTTAGGTAAATTATCAAAAACCGGCAGCGTAAAAAATATGAACGATTTAAAATGGCTCAAAAACAACTGAAATGAAAGAGTCGTGTGTGACTTACTGTTCTTTTACCAATCAAAAAGGCTGTCGTCGCTTAAATTCACCGAAGTTACCGATAAACCTTGCTTAACAGACAAATCAAGTTCAAATACTTGTTTCTGAAGTAGTAGGCTCTACAGGTTATAAATTTGGAACTATTTGACATCTGACTGAAGGTAACGGAAGTTGGGCAAGTTTTAGACCTGGAAAGAAGTGTACCGAGTGTATATTTAGTCTTCATCAGGTTCCACAGAAAAACTTACACAGCGTATGCTAGATATATTCATTATAGTAGAGGTCTTGTTTAACCATAACGGTGTAAATATTCCAAAAGCTCGATATATATATATATATATATATATATATATATATATATATATATATATATGATTAGCATCAACTGTCACTTTCTGTTTGTTCTCATCTTTCTTAATTTTAATCCCCTATGGTGTTAATTATTGTATTTGTCCTCCCACTCATGGGTTTATATATATGACTTGACAAGTAAATGTTTGACCAGATTGTTTCAAAATGTATTGTGCAAATACATGACATTGTTCAGATAAACTTCGTCTTCTAACTACGCTATTATTATACAGTATTCAACAAGCAGCACCTACTCATATGAAACTAACTCATTTTGAATAAAGATAAAATGCGGTTAATTCCTACTAGTGAAAACGGTTCTCATCCGTAAAATACAGTATTTCACAGCTTTAAGTATTGTATTTAGGAACTCAGACACTCATGAAAAGTAGTTGATGACAACATGAATCCCCACGCCTTTAATAGAAATTGATCATTGCTCAGTTAAATCATAACACTGCTGTAGAGGTAGCCATGAAATACATGCAAAGCTTAATTTATCCCCACAGATCTACTAGGAACAAACAGTTTGCTAGCTTTTGGAGTCATCACTCAGTAGTTCATGACAAAGAGGTATAAAAAGCAAGATAATCTCATAACTCGCATCCATTTAGGGTGCCACAAATCGTATTTACACATCTTAGTCAACGAAATGAAAGAAACCGGTATATTATTAATGATGTCAGCATCTGTGAAAAGCTAGAATGTGTGAAAGATAATGGGAAATATAACTGCATTTAAATACAAGATTTCAAAATTTCAGTCTCGTTTCGTCTACTCCTGAAACTGTTGTCGCTCAATTTATATTGCAATTTAAAATAAGATGTCATAGAGTGAAAACCAATTTCATTTATACACGCGTCTGTATTATTTTGTCATGATAAAATCAAAGGAAAAACCCTTACTCTATCACTTAAAGGTAAGAAAGCATACTTACTGGATATTCATACTTAACATGAAAGCAGGTTTAGGTTATACATCTGAAACTTTTATACGTAATATAAAGGCAGATATGGACATAATTAATGACACTAAATTGGCAGGACGGCTATCACGGGATGAACGAACATGCAATAAGAGAATATAATAATTGTTAAATCAATGGTTGAACAGAATGTAAATCTGATTCTTTCTGACAGAAAATTTTCAAATTAACTCACGACAGGCCCTATTAAAAGTAATATAACAGTGAATGTCTCGTAAGATAGTAGATATCAAAGGTTCTATTAAGCTTAGTTGTAGTGTAGAAGAAACCATTCTATTAGCTGTATCCGAAGGAAACAATCGAGCACTGTTGATTCCCGACTATCCAACCAGGATATAAAAAACTGTTGCGGGAAATCCTTAAAGCTTTCCACCGGTTTATAGCATTGACTTTCAAAAATATAGTTCAGTTATGGTTGAAATACTGTGTGAAAATACTGTGTGCGAAAAAACATTTACGTGCCAAATAATTACTGCCTAAAGAATACAAACAAAATCTACCTAAATTATTGTTGTTCGTTAGTACAAAGCATAAGCATTAACACTTTTCGGAAAAAGTAAACTGATAAATACACAGGTATTCTTTGCGAGAATTAGTTAGAGTAAAAGTAGGTAACATGATGTGCACAAGGTTGCAATGAGAAAAACCAGATTTTGAAACAATGAATTAGTTCTCAGATAAGTTCTGAAAATTTAGAATAGAACAAGTTTAAAAATATACTCCAATTTTGCAGAGCGAAACCAAACCAACCTATTTACAATTAGTGAGCAGGAAGTGTTTACTTAGTGAACTCGACCTTTATGACTGAGGATGTCCTGTCAAGACAGTGACTTTCGTTTGTGTAAATCTGATAACTAAGTAAAAAGTGTCAAAAACCACCCAAATTTACAGCGTAAAATAAAGTATATGACTAGAGAAAGACCCAACACTTAAAATCTGTGAAGAGAAGTGTGAATACTCCCTAACTCAAACCTACAACTATATTTACAGAAACATTGAGATGCATATTGAGACACCATCTAAATAGAAACTGCTAAAGACTGACGCATGGTTATAATGCCTTCGGCTTGAACCTTTCTTCATCAAAAATGCATCATTTAAGAAAATGAGAATGGGGCCGCTACCACTTGTCAAGACAAGCCCTAAATGGGCAGCCGGCTTTTGTAACAACAGTTTATATCGAATCCTAGATTAGTTTTTATACAGTCACCGAACAAAAGCCCTCATTAAATATTCGAAATTTTCCTTAGGAATATGCGCCGTAGGTCTCCAAGATGATGTCAGTGATTGTCGTCTACCTACCTTTCACTTCAAAAATATTCACTTGATTAAAGGAAAATAAAGGATGGATTGTTGAAGATGACAATTTTTACGTAGTTCATATTCGACGGAATGCACTTATTTCCAAATTAAAACTAAGATCTCCTGAAAATTCCATTTTTTGGCTAGATAGGTTGACCTTCACTATTAGGAAAAGGGAAATGCAGCAGTTTAAAAGTCCTCAGAACCCATAGGTTATAACAGTCATAGTACTGTTTTTGGAGACCATCCAAATTTTTCTATATCTCCAGTAAATATACTGTGGTACTGAATGAAGCATGGTTAAACGGTTTAAGAGTAATGCCTCATTTCACAAGATGAATAGTCGAAAGTTTCAGTCAGTAACGTTAGTGACTGGAACCCTACCAAAATAAGTTTCTTCAGGTTTCCTTGGTAATTGTTGTTGCACGTGAATTTACCTAGTGCATATGCGATTCTCTCAGTGAATGACATGATGTACCGAACTTATTATCAGAACTACTACAAATCAAAAGGGATAAAATAAATTTAAAAACCAAATAGTTAATTTGATGTGATGTAACTTACTTGTCACATCATAAACCACAATAGCAACTGATGAGTCCTTTATATAGCTTGGAATAAGGCTGCGGAATCTTTATCCAATATTATCCAAAGACATTTGTATAAAATACCTTTCCTGGCCTGCAGTATCCCATAGCTGCAAACGTACCTGAGAGATGAATATCAAGTAGAAATTAACACACCTTCTTACAGATTTTTCGTTGAAACACAGAGTTTTTGAAACAAAGTCAATTCCTATTGTAGCCTATAGTATTAACAGATTACGTAATGTACTGAACAAACGTGATAACTCGGGTCATAAGTATCATGCATGAAACGCAGTATAATGCATGTCTTCCCCACTAAAAGCATAAGAATTATTGGCATGCTTACCGCCATGTTCACCAACGAAGACACACTTAGACTTTATAATGGAATACTCTGAATTACACTGACCTTCCATTTCGCAGAAACTGCTTGCACCAACAAAATATCCGGGAACTAATCTAACAAACAAAATCAGCAGCTTCCAATATCCAATATCTTTTTAACAAGCTTGTGTAAAGAAGTTGATTTCTTCTTGCTCGCTTCTTGGTCTTGGGGAACGGTTCCAGAACTTTAGCGGATTTCGATGCAGTAGATCAAGCCACTCATCTGATTTACAGAACAGGAAGTTAAGTGTTGGTTTGTTTACTGTGATCTGTGGTGTAGTTGGCTTCTTCAGATGTCCAGTTGCCAGACAGTTGTCCGGACTGGTCGCTGGAGAGGGTTAGGAATAATGGAGAGAAAGGTGAATTTGTGTCAGTAAAAGGGGGAAAGAAAAGCGAACTAATGGAGTAATCTACTTACACCCAAGTAATGTGAGAGGGGTGCAAAGATATGAAGAACTTAGGTAAGTGAGGCTAACTCATGGCAAGTGGAAGGGATGAAAATGGCTTAAATGGTTACAATCGAAAGAAAACTGGTTGTGGAGTTAAAATATTTGGGTGGTTTGACATCAGTTGACTTCTTCTGTTTAGTACGTGTTCCAGCTACATTTGAGTAGACCGTGGGTCTCTGAGTGACTGTCTAGCCTCTTCTTGAGGCTTCCAGTTGTTGAAACGGAGACCACTTCTGCCGGTAGGGCGTTCCAGCACCTGCAGGCTGGGAGGTAGAAGAAGCGTGAACGCACATTAGTTTTTGACCTTTGGTGGGCTATCCTCTTAGGGTTTCCTCGAGGATCTCCATAGTGGCCACTGTAGTATTCCTCTGTTCCAGTGACTTGGATTATTCGGTATCTCGTAAGCCATTATCAAGTCACCTCGTAACCTTCGGTAGCCGAGACAGTATGGACCTAGGCCTGTCCCGGAAAAACAGGACTGAAACCTTTGACATGAATTTCTTTCACGCCTTTTGTTTAAAAAATGATCCTAACAGAAGTATGGCCCAATAACATTCACCTGATTTCAATATCCGTGTGCTTCTTATCAGTCGCCGTAGGTTATTTGATTTTCACGCTTTCTTCTTGGTTTTACGCAAACACCGAAGGTCTTTGGTAGAGTCGATTGCAGCTGCCCCGGCGACCACCTGCTGCAACTATAAGAAATCCAGAGTTTGGATCGGCTTTTCCGAACTTACTTTCTTAGATATATTCAGCTCATCTTTAATCCCTCTCCCTTGTGGTCAAATATTCTACATTTTAAAGAAATGATGAAGTTAGCTTCTCGGGGCCCCAATAAATGGTCGTCACTATTTTATCCATACCTACTTTAGCGGAGGAAACGGTAAAATTGCCGAGCCTAGATCAGGTTTAGGGTGCGGTTAGAAAACGTCATTGAGACCTCTACTATATCACATCAACAGGTAGCTCAAAGGGTTATGGGCGATTCATAACCTAATGTCTGGGCAAAATGTCAACCACAGTCGTCCATGAGGACATTGTTAGGTGACTGCAAAGTGGGATAGACAGAAACAATCGACGTAAATCCTTGAACACAGGCGCGTCACCTCAAGTTTCCACAGTCCATGTTCGTAGGCGAAGATAGGCAGGCAGAATGAGAGTGGTTTCAAATGAGTTAAAGTTGTCTAAGAGACTAAACAATACGAAGAAAAGGTTTAGTGAGAACATTCTAGTATTGGAAGACATAAAAGAGCGGGCAACTTTGCTCCGTTATGACCGATTTTCAACCATATCACCGGGACTCCCCAGTCACTGATTCCTGTCGTCTGGAGGATTCCAGTACGGTGCTCTACATCTACCCACATGCCCCAGACCAACAACAGAAGACTTCATCGGCTGGTCCCACATCTTGATCTGGTCAGCATGATCCCTTCTCCAAAGTAATCCACCTTCCCCTGGTGTGGCCAGCCAAGGTGAGCAGTGACTCGGCATGTGCGGCGTGTATCCAAGCCATCTCATTTGACTAAGATCCAAAACCTCATCAACCGACCTGCCTGTCCTGCCCAGCACTCTTCACCTGACCTCAACGTTACTCACACTGGGGTGATTCCACCAAACGCGAACGGCGCTGTGAAAATATCTGTGATCGAAAACCTGTAATCCCCTCAATTGTTCTACTTCTTAGGTCGGTGTCCGACAGCTGTATCACAGGACGTACCGCGCTGCAGCCCAGTATATCCACCCATTCAGTGCCAGAGATGATCCGAGTCCACGAATGCGTGAGATTACTCTGTGTCCCAGCTGAGATCATCTCAGCAACCAATTTGGTTAAGCTAGTCAACTCTCCAAGTAAAGGGAACAGCGCATCCAACTATTTCACACCCCTGTCCTTAGAATGGCAATGGTTGCACACCCGTTCCGGGTGTAATCCCACATTTCACAGGTGCCAGACGTGCACCAGTCAAATTCAACGCGTTCACAAGACTCTGCATTTGGTCAGCGCCTTCATTTAGCAAGACAATTTATTCTGAATGCTTCAAGCCAACGTCATGACATCCGGGCAGTCTATCGATCAGACGTACCTAAGGTTATGTTCATTAGTGCGTCTGTGACGAAGTTAAATAGGAACGGCGACAGTGGACATCACTGGTGGACACCATCAGCCATCGTCACTTCTGATGACAACACATAGGCCCTTTCATGGCTGCGTGGGTTGCAGTAGACAGTTTTGATAGGTCTTACATGCTTACTCAGTAGCCTCTTCTCAGTAAGACGCCATCGCAACAACTCACGTTGTCAAATGCTGACTTTGGGTCAAGATATGTAGAAACTTGACTTTCCGTGAGTGTGTTTGTGTTCCATGGCCTATCGCAGGGTGGAATTAGGATCGGTGCACCCCAGTCCTATTCACGCCCGAAACCTGCCTGATTCTCTCAAGTTTGCTGTTTTCGAGTTCTGGTTACACTCCGCGTAACTATGGGCCATGGAATCTCAACTATGACGATAGTCACTTGGACATCCCAGCGGTTGTCACAAGAATGCCTCTTCCTCTTCTTATAGACTGGGATGATCAGTAAGGTGGACCGGTCTGACGGCACTGCCCCTGATTCCCACGCATCACCTAGTGCCTCCGTTACCTTCATTGGCGGCTTCTCGCCACCATTATAAAAAGCATCAGATGGAAAACTGTTGTGTCCTGCTGCTTCATGATGCTTCGGTTTCCACAAAACTTTCTCAGTTTTAAGAGGGCTGAAGGACTGAAGCCTACGCCACTCAGGTTCAGGCTGGTCGTCGAGCAACTAAAGCGTTGCTAGTGGAGGGGGTTGAGCCGCGCTTCAAAGCGTCCCGCCCAACTTTCCGGCCGCCTCTTCTCCGAGGTTATCAGCGTCCCACTCTACTGGGTTATGGTTCCACTAACCATTGTCTTCTTCTTGCCGGTATCCCTAATAAGCACAATTAGTCGCTGGGCGTTATTCAGAGCTGATGCCCTCCCCATCTCTCTCGTTTTTGCCGCCTACTGCTGCTAGTAATCGACGCGAAGACTGTCGGTGAATTTACGTTTGAGTTACTTTCGCTGTTCATCGCGGTCAGAGTTAGAGTGACGTCACGGAAATCCGATGACGTTCGTTAACCTTCAGCTGTAGGCTACCGACCGCCTTCATTTCTGTTTATACACCAGGCTTGGTATCACGCTAGGTTTCCCCGGGATAAGCACGTTCCTCATATTCAGATGAGTGCCTAACCACCGCCCTCCTAAATGCAGAGTCGACACTTCCATCTTCCGGTAGACCACAGACACACCTGGCTGTCGCTTGTTTCCTGAGGCCAGTAAGGTGCAGACATGCAAGAGACCGTACTAGCGCGGGATCCGAGTCCAAGCCAGCACTCTGGGAAAAGAGGCAAACCTCCAACGATGGCTCGTGACAGTGTGATTTCGGCAGACGCCGTGTAAGACAGCATCTCTCCTTATACGTGATGAAGTTAGCACTGGTCAGGAACAAGTGGTTGCCGGAACGAAATTGCAACTGGCGATCGCCACCGTCACCTCTTTAGCATGGACGTCAACAGATGCTTCGGAGATGTCCATGCCTCAGCCGAGTTCACTACGTGGGCATTGAAAGCACCCGCCGCTATGACTACGTCTGAAGGTTTTTTCTTTTTGCAGAAACTTAGAGGGAATCGATCGTATGAAAATTGACAGCGTCTAGGAGGATTCGTCCCTTGCATCCTCAGAACCTCAGTCAGTGGGTTTGTAGGTGAAGAATAGGCACTGATTGGCCTTGTAATATTTCTCAGCTCTTACAGGCATGTTCATTCGAGCGACAAGCAAATGTCTATTTATCGGTTTCCAGTTGAGAAGCGTACTTTCGGCCTTACAGTTTAATGCTGTACATACATCAGCGAGTCCACGAGCGTCAACCATTGGATCTCCAGATAGTTGTAAGTTGAATTTTGAAGATTCACCACTACAACCAGGTGAAATCAATTTAGTGATCATGTTCAGGCCTTGTATTCGTGCCTTGGATGTACAGCATAAAGCCGTGGCTCGAGACTCCTGAGTACTGCCAAGCGATGCGTGATGTCGCATTTGGCGCAAATTTCGGACGTTGAAAGATGCTACACAAAATAGGTGGTCAGGTCTCGGGAGACTTGGATTGAGGTTTCGCTGGCTGTGACCATCCTTAACGACAGCTGGATCGACCTCTTCTCACTCTCCTTTCAGTTTGTTGGCAACATCAGGGTGGCTCTGCCGGTCATCCAAGGGAAACGCACTACTTACGTCACATCCCACCCAGCCGGCAATATCAGGACTTCACCCTCAGACCTCCATCACAACGTAGCAATCTACCTCATGATGGCAACTCTTCTGTTCAACCGCTATGTAAGAGACCCTGCTGTCTTGGTTGAACCTCGAGGGGACGGGCGTTCCACCAGCATAGTTCTCCAGGCCATAGTGGCATACAGGCCCAACAACCGTGTCAAGGCGGCAGCTATCGGTCACAGCAAACGGGGAGGATAATCCTTTCGTGTCTTCTTAGTCTGTATTTCCATTATATTGTCCTCTTGTAATGTCTCAGCTCTCTTGCGTGTTGGCTTCCCTTAGAAGCTTGTCTTTTTTCTGTACTTATCTTCTAGGAATTTGGATGTCTACATTATGTAATTTTGTTTGTTTTGCATACCTACCAAGTGAAGAGGCTCCTGAGCTGCTGCGAAAATGTATTGTCTTCAAGTATCTCTGTCTGCACTAGCGGCTAAGGTTCAACAAGCCAGCGTAAGCCAAATGAATAATAAAATTTTAAAAAATCCCTGACTTTGATGCAAAAAAGCTGAGAGGCAAAATATGTAATGTGATTGCAAGTCTCAATACAAGGCGAGGGGTAGAGGCAGGATAATATAGTGTTACATAAATGCTATGTGGAGTTGCTGCCGTTGGTAGTTGCCTGTATATGTTGGCAGCTAATTTAACATGATCATTCATTAAAATTTTGAATGAGCTCACTAAAGAGGCCTTCGCTCTTTGTTTAGTTAGCACAGTTACTGTAGCGCGCACCTTTACTTTGGGTGGATCGCGAAAGCATCTGAACAGTTTTTGAGTCACACACTGAATTGGTATTTGAACAGTCTGGTTAATCCTTTACCACTAACACTTTTCCGTTTGAATGTTTTGTAAGGCTTACTTTCTCATTGGTTGACCGCGCTGGTGAAACAAAGCAGCATCGGTTTTGGGGAATTTTTGTGTGCCTTCTAACCGAGTCGTTCTGATAGTAGTGCCCGTCTCTACGAACCGTGCTGCTTCACAGACAACCCATGTTATTGTAGATAAGAAAACCTGACTCTGATTGGGATGGCCGACAGTTTAATCCGACCATTTTTTCCTTGTATCAGTTGACCTGCCCAGTGATGAACCCATGAGGTGTCACCGAAAAGCAGTACATTTATCTCTGTGTGCTAGTGTGCATGGACCTCAAATTATACCGTTCGAAAGTTATCAGTGCTCATCTATTGTAGTTTCCCGTACTGGAGCAGAGGAAGGCAATCAATGCATCCATTACCATTTTCCCTTTAGTTATCACGAAGAAGGTTATTCGTTAGTGTTTACTTCATTCCAGTGAAAATTGGAAAAAGCGTTTTCGTCAAGGCAGCTGTCATCTGCCAGCACTCAGCTAATCCTCTGCCCTGTTTCCTCGGAACTTCATCATGTGAAATCCCAGATTCTCTGCCATGGTCCTGAAGAAGATGAAGTGCCCCTGAGACTTCAGATGAATGACTTGTTGGTAAGTCTCCCTTCAGTCTCTAAGTCAGCAAGTATATATGTGAACCCTTCTTGGTTACCTATCATCGTGGGTTGCCGTAATGGTAGCTCGTTCCACCCAAACCGCCCACTTCTAACATTTATAAGTGGTAGTTGGGGCTTGTATGCAACCTCAGCTTAAGGTGTTGTGGCATACCAGCTCAGGGCAGCTGGGCTCCTGCAGCCCCTAACGTCACTCCAGTCGGAGGGGGTGTGCTTATTTGTGTAGTGACTTCCTCCTCTTCTTTAAGACCCATGTCATCGAAAATAGGGTAATGTTGACCGAGCGCAGTTTCCCGGTCTATGCATCTGGGATAGACCATTTTTCCATATTGGAATTAATTTCAGAGTTCAGGTGCGGACAAGATGGTCTGGTCTACTTGATATTTTCGGAACCGTAGCCGGACGGATAGATAACGGTGATCACTCGCCCTAACTGTACTCTGACAACCATCTCTCTGCGTAACGACAAGTCGAAACACAAAGCTTGACACTGACTAGTATGGCACCGAATGACCCCAACTGGGCGGTGGACGCAGATATCCTACATCGCCATTAGTCATGAACCCCGACAAGTTTGTAACTTGCGGTACGCTATTACACGTTCTGTCGCAGTTTGCTGCTTTAGTTATTTGGCACCCCTATTCGTTAAAAGCGTTGACACATCTCACAGAATTTCCTGACTCAGTGAAATTGAGACGTTTCTGCTGCCAGAGAAAAACTGTTGGATGGGGGTTATGTGGTCTTTCGTATGACATTCCCTGTGTTACTCAACATATTCCACCGACTAAATTTCCCTGATCTCGCCTTGACCCATTTAAACCACCGAAATTTAAGTTAGCGTGTTCGTAAAATTCCCATTGAAATCCACAATGGCGAAGTTATTACTCCTAACCTGCTTACGTTACCTGATGAAACAGATTTAAGTTATTATAATAATTTCATCACTTCGAGGCGCAAAGCTACGTTGTTGACAAAGCTGACATGTGTGCCGGCAGCCACTCCTATACTGAGTGAGGTAAGTGGGGATTATAAGTGCCTAGAAACAGCTTTGGGCAGCACAAGTGAACAAATGAAAGCTGTAACGGATTTGCAGAGTGTTGCACCGACAGTTGACTTCAAATTACCAGCCATAGATACAAAACTCTCAGCTGCCCAGAAACTTAGGAATGGACTTAAAGGCCTACGTTAGCAAGCGGGGGAACTGTTCCCTGTAACAACAATGATTTATTCCTGAATATACAGAGGCATATAGTTCTTACAGATACGGTTAAAACATTTGGTGGACCAGGATGCTCCTGCCAAAATAACAGATGTGAAAGTTGACATACAGGGCACAGCAACTTTAAGGTTGCTGGTTGCTGAGGTCATTATAATCCCCACTAGTACCATAAATGAAGTCCAGACCGGGCCTCGTGAACTAAGTGATGCAGAAAATGTAATCACTTGCATATCTTCCAAAGCTATAGAGCACGCAGCGGCCAGCTAGAAAATGTTTGCGTACAGTGTCGCGGGCAAAATGGTGATAAGTGCTATCAAGAAGGTGCTCTTGAAGGCTGTCACTACGTCGTATGTCCCAAACGTGTATTTTTGATGCCAGAGAAAACATCCACAACACTTTTTCATGGTCCTGATTTGCGCTGGGACTTAACAAGTGGCCACGAGGTTTATTTGTTCGTGTGACACTACCTTATTCCCCACCGAACCAGGAAACGCAAACACTATGTCAAAGGAGATCGTTACCAAGTAATGGACTCACAAATCGAATGCATGCTCACAACCTGCATGATCTAAAACGACCGCACTGTAGCAAGAGATGGTACATATGTTTGGGGTACTCAGCTGAACAAATTCAGAAAACCTTGGTGTGAAATCTGCCATGAAATAGTCGCTTAATTCTGCTGCTGATTCATCGCCTGGCAAGGGTAAAACTAGTGAATCAGACAGATCTTCATACGATCTTACCCAGTCACCCGATCTGGGAGAGCGCTTATGGGCGAGAGTGAAGACTACACATTGCAGCAAGCCTACTTAACAGAAAGGCGCAATTGGGTTCAGGATTACTCATTACCCACCACACTGAAGGATTTCAGGCTAAATTGCGAGCAACCTCCACTTCATGCTCAGTTCAAATGAACTCAACATGTGGGTCCTCCTAGGGCCAAGGAAAGCGCGAGTGAAAGTTTATAATCGGGTCAGCATAAGAAAAACGAACAAATCAGACGGACTCCTCAGCGGTCCCCTACCTCATAACATCCACGCGCTGCCCTTATTTTGGAATCCAAGTTACTTAGTAGTTGGTGTCACACTCGTGTGCCATAAAGCGTTCGCAAATGAACCTGCAGTGTCCTACCCTTAACAGTACCCTTTCCAACTAGATTGCCCCTTATGTGAAGGGAACCGAACTTTTATGATAGAAACACTCACGGCCAGCTATGCCAGCCAAACCGGACGATTATGGATATATGTGACCCACAAATTAAGACGAAGCTGGTAACATAAGAAGCAGACCATTGAACTGCAGTGCCATAGAAGAACGCCACTTTTCAGCCAATAATATGGCTCTCGGAATACTTGATCTTCCTCCCATTATTGGATCACTGAGCAACCATCCATTCGACAGCCGTTTCTCCGGGTAGATCCATCTCACAAACCCGACCTGCAACGATAGAGGTAAATGACGACATAAGCGGTTTGCCTCAATCCGGGACTTCTAGCACAGGTCTAAATAAACTACACACGAACAACGTGCCACCCTATATAGGGGACAGCTCATTGGACATCCTCATCCTCAGACGAAGATAACCCTACAACAAGTCTCCCTAACTCACATCCACCCAACGTTTGAGATGAGTTACTTGTCATCTGATTTCATCTCTTTCGTACTAAGATCGTCCTTAACTTCAACCGATAGAACCCAAATTGGTGGCGGCTCATGTATTATGGTGCCACTAAACAATACTCGATCATGGGGTGCTTACCGAACTTCCACCTTCTTCGGTGATCTTGAAACGCTTGCGTGAGCCCACGATTCACAACTATATATTGTCCTGATAAGTCTATAGGTCTGTAATCGGTGAGCTGGCAATACTAAGAGCTTCACCATTCTTGCCCAAACCACCTAATATAATAGTCGCGGAATCCTTGGACTGTCCCAATGTACCATATGAATAAGCAGATAACGGTACGTGCACACCGTGGCAGTGGGCGGGGCGGAAGCCTGGTGTTCTTTTGAGACAGTCTCTTTATCCCGGTTGTAACATGAAGTGCTGGAGAGGCACTAGTCCCTAGGGGTCACGTTTCTTCACAAGACTGCTGCAGTGCTGGTTGGCTGCTCACACAGAGCATCCGGAGTCTTCCCTGATGGCACAACGCTGCGGAACAATACTCTGAATAATAATGCAGAATAACACCCTTTCCCTCGCTAACACAAATTTATATATGGTTGTTGTGAAACAAGAGGTTGAATGGGACATGTTCGGGCGGAAATAGTTCATCACTATCCCAACAAGGGGTGACAATACACTTGCCCTAGTGTTCAGCCAAGGCATCAGTCCCTCTTCAACTAGTATAAGTTCTCGATTCTCAGGAAGCGGCCATGAGACGATAGCGAGCACATTCCCACCTCCTGCTTCAGACAACAGTTCCACCCCCTTACATATGAGGCCTGGAACATGTATTCAAGCAAACTTGAAACTCACGTATTTTCCGGTCAGATGCAGTGAATAGGTAGATTATTTCCGCATAGTTGACCAAGGGATGATGATAAGTGTATCCCACTCAAATTTCCGCAACTGCCCTGCAATCACCACCCCCTTGATAAAATCAACCTAGCTCACCTCAAGCAGCCCTTTCATTTGCCGGAAAACTTTGGGAAGCATCCTTCACCCCACCTAGATATGAGTGTGACGCAAAAGTGGAGCGC